GGAGGGGGAGGGGGAGGAGGAGGAGGAGTAATAGGAGATTAAGGGGAAAGAAGAAGAATATGAAGAAAAGACTCGGGAACTCCAAGCTTTTTTAAAAAGCATGTCTCTTGTGGTATTCATACCAGGTAAATCCTCTTTGCAGTCAAATAATAGCCTACTATAAAATTAATATCTATCACATTGTATCTGAAGGCCTTTTTACCTGCTTGAAGAGTGGTATTGCGTGTTTTATTTATTCTGTCATTATATTTTTAAACAATTTTTTCCATTTTATTAGACTTTATTCATTCTATTCTTCGGGGTATACATCATAAAGGAGTGGTTTTGATTATTTTATTTTACAATGGTTTTCTCCATTTAAAAATATTATTTGATTTTTTAAAGTTGTTTTTATTGGTCTGATTAAGCCCAGAGGTTTGATTTTGTCCTGTATGTCGTCTGCTTTGTGAATGCATTATTTAAAAAAAAAGAAAGAAGAAAGAAAAAAGCTTTCTGGCCTAAGACCACATTTTATGTTACTATTTTGTTCTTTGTTTTTATCTCACTCTATTCCATCTCATTAAGTGTTTTATTTTTCAGGTGCTGGTTGAAGAAAAAGACGGGAAAGTTGTGTTTCGTATTAGGAATACTATAGGCCACACCCACATTGAGTACCTCACCACCCTGGAGGTCAAGGATGACGTCATGTATTACGTCATGGACACCAGAGCCGGCATGGTTGTCCGGAAACTGGACAGGGCTTGAAGGGTTTTTAAAGCGTTTAGTACCAGAATGACAAGTGTATTATCTTGCATTTTATTTTGAATAACAAGATGCTTTTTTCTGGGTTTTATTTCGATGAAGAAGAGTTCAACAAGGCGGCTTTTGTTGATGTTTGATGCGTAGATGTGCATTATATAATATCCAAATCTGTGCACAGTAACATAATTCCGGCTCTCCCCCTGGAGTACGGTCATCACGGTGCCCGATCGAGGATAGTATAATTCAAGTGTATGGCTTGATGTCAAAGGTAGACGGCTTTTGATTGATTAAGTTGATGCATGTTTATTGTTTGATGAGTTCTCAAGTGTGTAAGTTCTTGACCACGACGTGCATAGTTGGTATGCACGTGTGTGTGAAGGTGTGTTGTGTGTACATGTAGGTGTGTGTGTGTGTGTGTGTGTGTGTGTGTGTGTGTGTGTGTGTGTGTGTGCGCGCGTGCGTGCGTGCCATGCACGTGTGTGTGTGATTAAGGGAAAACGGAGATGTGAAAATAAATTTTCAGTTTTAGTCTTAGGGTGTAAGAAGAATAAAGCAAATGTTCACACTATTTATTTGTGATGTTTTTTTTTTAATTAACTCTTTTTCTTCTTGGTTTTCTTTTTAATTCATGTGTTTATCTCATGTATCAATTGACGGCTTCTCAAATGTTGACATTTACTTGACTCGTCATTCTCTGTCTTCTTTCCTTTTTCTTTTGAATTCTAGCTAACGGTTATTGAAATGAAAAAGTGATGTATCCAGTAAGCATACACAAACTTTGCATCGCCCTCAAGGTCAGGAAAAGAAAATATTATTTAAGTGCTTATGACTTTGGTTTGATTTTAGTGAGAGTTTTACATCATTTGAAACACTATTCGGTCGTATAAATGTCCAAGATTAGATATCGTGCAAGAGAATATCATGTACAAATAGAAGACGCAGATAATAAGTCGATATATGTTTGATGGGAAAGAAGGAGCAAACCACACCAGAGCACCCGCCAACCATGTCTTTGGCTTTGGGAGAGCATAAGCGTGTCATTGGCTTTGTACAGTTGATAAATTCTCTGAAGAGTAAGTTGGGCTGCGACGATAAGTGTCTCTATTCTGCTCTCGTTCCGGAATTTTTATGGCTTAAGTTGTCTCATAATTGGTCAATGCTCTCTATTGTTCAGTTTGACCCCAAGATAGATTAAAGTTTTCAGGTGTCCAGCTTTTTAGATGACTTGTACTACATGTATTTCAAGAGATTGTTACTACATCACGTGAAGGCCCTTAGACTAATAATAATAATAATAATAATAATAGATAGCATTTGTATAGCGCATATCCCCGCTCAACAGCAGGCTCTATGCGCTTTACACTATATTATTACCCCAGCAGACCATAGAACACTCCAAAACATTCTCAGCTTCCCGGGAAGCATACAGTGCGAGCAGCCGATTAAGCGCTCAAACACTAACAGACTGACAAGATCTTTCGCTGTCTATAGCCGGGTACCCATTCCCACCTGGGTGAAGTGAGGAAAATTCGTGTAAAGTGCCTTTCCCAAGGACACAACGTCGGGCCCCTGACGGGATTCGAACCCACGACCTTACGGTTGCGAGTCCGAGAGCCTAACCACTAGACCACCGACGCCAAAAAACAAACAAACAACAACAACGGCAACAAACGAAAAAAAAGGGGGGAAAAGCAAGCACTGTTAAAAAAATGTGTACATGCAAATAGACCCTACGGTTTTCCAGCAAAAAGAGAGAAATGCTTGATAAAACAGACTTCCCTAGATTCTACATGAGAATCGAACTTGCATCTTTTGTCTGCAACGACCGAGAGCCTGATAGTTACACTTAGGCCACAAGTTTGGTTTCCAAATCACCACGTAACATGATACATGTACAACGTTGTGAATCAAGGTGTCTGTAGGAAATGCCTGAGACCCTTTTGAACTTTTTAAGTTCTCGTAGATCTATAACATCACACGGCTGTCTGGGTCGATGCAACGGGTACTATAGCAGTAGCCTATCTTTACGACCATCCTTCTGATGATTCGTCTGATTTGTGAAAATAATATCATAATTTGATTAAAGATAGGCATGAAACAGCCTATATAAGGTGCCTGGAATTTTATTAAAGTTATTTGTTCAGTTTCTGGAGACTTATTATAGCGCACTCATGGTGTGCTTCGCTATGGACCGTCTCAGGGGACGCTGGCAGTCAAGGAAAGACGACTACGAGTTTATTCCCACGAAATTTGTTCCTTCAACGGCTGGTGAGTTATACGGGGGCCCATAATTGAGGGAACAGGGTCGAGTCGGGTCGGGTCGGTTTGCTAGCCAGATTGAGGGCGCAAAGCGGCTGTCGTGGCTGAGGCCGTTCGCGCCCGACTCGTCGTCTAAAAAACCAAAGCATTTGTTTTCAGCGCCGAACGGGCGATCGACCCGACCCGATCCCATCCGCACAAGGCACCCGGCATTAAGCATAAGTTTACTTATTATTATTATTATTTTAAAATATTTTAGAACATATCTAGTTTTTCTGTTTGATCGTCTGTCTGTTTGTTTGTTTGTTTGTTTGCTTGTTTGATAGGATGAATAAACAGAAGCACATCAATACAATAAGGGCATCTAGTGCTAGGTAGTTAAACGGGTCTTCAGCGCATGGCGTCAAGGCGACTTGTGGGCCCGAGAAGAGCTGGTTTCGAAATTTGGTTTGTTTGAGTATAGAGAAGCACGTCGACACAGTTATGGTCATTTAGTGCTTGCAAAAAGTAAGACGGACAGACAGACAGACAGACAGAAGCAACAGAGGGAAAGTAAAGAAGTAGGACATACCAATGGCGCCCTCCTTCTTTCCATTTTGAAATTTGGAACCGGTTCAGGAAAATAAAGGTAGGCTACTTAAGAATCCTTTAAAAAAAGAAAAACAAAAGACGAGAAACATTTTAAACAATCATTGGTATAAGCTTACTTTAAAGAGTAAGAATTTTCCTTTGCGTTGTCTTCTTAATCATAAAATTATATATCCGAAACAGATTATTATCATCATTTCCTGCCCGAATGGGTCAGTGTGGCTGTGCTGATAATTGCCGTCGCAAACACAGCTCCTGGAGATCCATAGTAATAGTAAATGAGTTAAATATTGTTCAGAAAGGGTGATGATGACTAAATAGGAGTAGCGCAGCGTCTGTAGTATGGCGGTTACACTCTTCGCCGATACAACCGGAAGAAGTGCTTCGATTCCCGAATGGATGATTTTTGGGGGTTTTTTTTGTTTTTTTTTCTAAACCGCGTATTATGTTTCCTTGGATGTCGTATCCTTCTCAGCCCGTGATTTCACAGGCATGCATGGTCGAAGTAGTCCGTCTCCTAAATAATCTAAGATGTACAGACGGGGGCGTGGAACACTAATTACAATTTAAGGGGGGGGGGGGTTGCTACACCCCCAAAGTCAAGATTCGGCTCAAAATTATGGAATTTGAGTTGTAGGCCTTTTTAACTTCCTCAGCATCTCCTACAACTATTTCATCGCACAAGAAAAAACGTTTTCCCCATACCGGGCATGTTTGTCACCGCCATTTCCTCATAAAGTCAATGTTATATTTTTCTTTATCGGCCGTTTTCTCAAAACGCGACTTTTCTCTATACTTTTTTGAATAACTCCACCATTTTTCTTCCAATCTTCATGAAATTTTCACAGAGTGAAGAGAAGATGTAATACTAAATATTAGTCAATTGAATTTTCGATATCTGAAATATATTTTTGTTGGTGGTGTCTGGAGTGAGGATTTTCACAGATTTTTTGCAAACTTGAATGCTACCTCAGGAAAAAATTCATTAAAAATGTTCTGATTCGTTTAGGAAAAAAACAACAGACATATTTTTAGATCTAATGTTGGTTAACACGCATGCAAAAAAAAAAAAGCACAAAAAAACCAAACAATTAATTTCCGTGAGCGATAAGTGCGGTATTCATTACGTAAGTCATGTCAACAAAATCTAATATGGCCGCCGTATCCATGGAAACAAAACTTTTTTCTCAAATTTGATTGCATATTTTAAGACTCCTTACTATGCTTGTTATATGTGTGAAATGTGGTAAAATTCGATCTAGTAATAAGCGAGATAGCGTTCAGTTGTAGCCCCCCCCCCCATTCCCCTTAAGATTGAAATAGAATATTTAAAAAAACAACCCCAGAGTGGCTGGAAATGTATAAATGTTTTAAAAAACCCAGTGAATCTCTGCAATCATTCGAGTTTCATTTTTTTTCTATTTCAGGTTTCACAAGAGACGCTTTAGAACACCTAGCCAAGACACCCTTCTCTCTGGAAATTGTCAGAGTAGATGGCAATAAGTTTCAAAACACCCTTACTCTTCAACGTGTGAGTACCAGGCAGGTTTTTTTTTAGTGAAAGTAAGAACGACGTCGCAAGTTAGCGACAGAAATGGGAACAGTCCCAAAGTCAAGTTTAACGAATATTTTCGTTTTTATTATTATAGAGAGTCATGAGTAGCATTCATTTCTTTTTTTCTTCCTTTCTGTTCTTTTTATTTCTGTCTTTCCTTTTATCTTTCTTTATTCCTTCCTTTCGTTCTTGCGATCTTTAGATTTTTTCTTTCTTTCTTTCTTTCTTTCTTTCTTTCTTTCTTTCTTTCTTTCTTTCTTTCTTTCTTTCTTTCTTTCTTTCTTTCTTTTTCTTTC